GGGACTTAAATACGGATTTCATGCACGAGAAAATAGTGCATATTGGATGTGAAGAAGGGAGCAAGTTGCACGTGGGGAAAAAACGCTCCTGATTTAAATGTCACACCTGAACGCTCACATCCTTTTAATTATGTTTGAAATTATGAACATTGCTCAACATCATGAAAATTAAACCTTATTTTCAATAAGCGATCCTGAAAAATATTTGGGGGTGCTTAACTTTTTTCCAGGTGTATAGATGTTATGCATTCATAATTTCTTTCTTTGTCTTACTAATTTTGCTGTAAATATTTGCTGTTTTTATAAAAATAATGATTTGTTTTTGAGTTATTATCATGTCAAGGAGTATAAAGCTATTATTTAGAGATATCTTAGATTATTCAAATCGTATAATAAACTGAAAAATAGTAACACTTAATGTTTATCCATCTCTCTGTTACTTAAATAATATTAACCCCTCTTGCTATGCTGTATTTATTATGATGCATGTACATCCAAGGTATCAGTTTGCTGTGTCTCAAGATTTATTTACCATTACAATAATGCAATATTTAATACTTTACAGTAGAATATTCTTAAGTATAAGAAGTTACTTTGTGTTATGGGTAAAGATTCTACCTTAACAGAACTGGATTAATGTTTCTTTTCCAGGTTATGGAAAAAGCTTATGCTACCAGTATCCAGCTGTGTATTCCCAAGGTGGCATTGCCATTGTGATTTCTCCCCTGATATCTCTGATGGAGGATCAAGTTACAGCTCTTAGGTTAGTTGAATTAGATTATAATAAACCTTTCTTTTTCTTACAGATGTTTCTAAGCAAAACAGATTGTCTTGTTTGCTTATGACTTTAGTATTATCATTATTATATAAAAAACTTGAGATACATTTTTATGGGCAAGTCAGATTTGATATCAATCAGATGTATTAGTTTGAAAATTGAGTTTAAAAATTACATTTAAGAGGAAAATGTATTCTAATATAGGATCACTTGAGATAAACTTGTCATACAGACAAGCAATCTGAAATCTGGTTTATACTTATGAATTAGTATTCAACCAAGATGAGAACTATAACTGGAAATGTTTTTGAATTTATAATATAAAGAAATATTGTTGTGTGTTTAGGGTTTATTATGGAAATATAAAAAATGAAAGTTTTTGATTGGGAGTGAACATTTTCAAATCCATGAAATTGCATAATTTATTTTGTCTACTGACATATGATGTAAAATCGAAAGCTGTGTGTAGATTTGAAAGTTTGTAATTATGTCTCTGGTCTTCATAAATAGTTCTGAATGATTTTTTTCTTGCAAGTTGATATGAAAGAGATAGTCAAACCTTATTTGATGTAGAAGGATAGATAGGATTTCATTAGTTATACTTTAAATCAGCAAACAAAAAAATTCTTATCACAAAGTGAAATTATTTTATTATTAGAATAGAAACAAGTGAATATAATAATATGAAATGGACATGTAAAGCTTTATGGGATTGATTAGCATTAATCTCATTGTCTCATGGCAGGACTTCTATAGTGTATTTTTAAAGACAAGAATTTGCTTGTAATGCAGCAGTATGTAGTTGTAATGCTATTCATTACAATTAAGTTGGTGTGATTTTGAATAGTTTGCATGGGGAGTGTTTAAATGGTTTTTACGAATATCAGTTACAATGTAAATATATATTTGCTTAACTTTATCAAAAATATTTGCATGAATTGAAACTTTCAGGTATGAAACCATCTGTAATTTGATTGATGTTAAACTTTATTTTATAAAAAAACTATATATATATATATATATTAGGTCGTCAAGAAATTAATATCGCTTTTTTTTAGATGAAAAAATCCAAATAACTTGTATATCAAAACAAAACATTTATTAAATGAAATAGTCTCCATTCTTATCTATGATGCTTTTCCATCTTACAATCAGGTTGTTAATGGCCTTATTAAAGAAATCACTTGGCTTTGAAGCAAAAAACATGTTGATGTCCTCTTTAACACCTTACACATTAGCATGCGTTTTCCCATTAAGATGGTGTTGCAGCGCACAAAAAAGTTGGTAATCTTATGGTGCCATATTTGGAGAATATGGTGGCTGGGGGAGAACTTCCCGACCCAACTCTATAATCTTGTGTCACATCAAACATGCCACATTGTTGTGGAGAAGAAGAACATCTTTCCGATTGACAAGTGAAGGGCATTTCTGATGAAGGGCTTGATTTAAATGTTCCAGTTGCTGACTATAGATCTCTGCATTGACAGTTCATTGTGGATTGAGGAGTTGGAAATGAATTACTCCTTTGATATCCCACTAAATGCAAAGCATCATTTCCTGCCGATGGAGTCCAGGTTTTGGGGTCGGAAGTGGTTTTTGTCTAGGACTGATCCATTGTTTATGGCATTTAATATTCTCATAGAGAATCCATTTTTCATCACTGGTAACAATTCTGTCCAAAATTGGTTCACACACATTATGCACCAGAAGAGATGAAGCAACATTCACACGTTGGAAACGATGATCATCAGAGGCACCCAAATACCTTCTTGATGGAGTTTTCACAGATTCTTTAGGTGTTTATGTATTGTTTCATGGGAGACATGCAATTTTAAGGCCATTTCATGAGTTTGTTGCCTTGGGTTAGACTCAACAAGCGTTTTCAGAGCATCAATATCATTTCCAATATGTCGACCCCTGTCATCACAGTTTTTAAGGCTAAAGTCATCTGAACAAAATTTGCTGAACCATCGTTGACACTTAAGAACATTCACAACATTTCCATAAACTTCTTTGATATACTTTGTGACTACAGAGGCATTGTTTCCGTTCTTGTATTCAAACAGCATTACATGCCGAATGTTTGTCTCGTCATGTTCCATCACTATAAGGGATTAGAGTATACTAAACTGTACACATTATACAAGCTACACTAACGTGACATTTAGGCAGTTCGTTTAAGTATTGTACGTGACATTAATTTCTTGATGACCTAATATACATATACATATATATATATATATATATATATATATCAAATTTTTGTTCTGCATTTATTAAAAAAAACTCAGATCATTTTCTGGTATTCAAGTTTACTGATATCCAACAGATAAATCTGAAAGTATGTACAAATTGCAGATACCGGAAATGCTATACGAATAATATATATATATATTTAGTATGGAGAATAAAAGAAAGAATGGCACAAACACAATTGAACAATTAAACAAAATTTTTAGTCATAATTATTTTTCAAAATTTCTGTTTATTATACTGGCTGGCCTCTTTGTCTTGTCATGAATATAGTGGCTACTGGGATTGAGAAAAGTATTTTCTACGTACATCCATATAGCATGAGGACATAATCAAATTCAGACAGAATGTTATTTCAATGCTGCATACATCACTTACTACCCCATATAAGATTTTATAGGGGAGAAAGTGTGTAACGCATACCAATTTCTACAAGTAGCTGTGTCACCCTTTTGGATGGGCTCACCCCTCTTTGGGACTTGGGAATAGGGGACAGATATAAGTCCAAAGTAATATAAATTTTTGGCTTTTGGCATATGCAACCTTTGCTGGAGTAAAAGTATTAGTACCTGTTTACAACCTTTTGACATTTGACTAATTAGAATGTCATACTACATACAGAACATTTGCATGAAAACGTAAAAAAAAATTTACCTTAATATATCTGACTAAAGAAGTTCACGGCAGTATGTCTGCAGATTTATAATGCTAGGAACTTAGTTTCTATACCTGTGGTTGGTGAAATGTATAGCTTATTGTGTAGCTTTATGAGTAACTACAAATAAACAGACTAAAGAAGTTTGAAATTACCTGTGTTCCAATTATTACAATTTTAGGGCTGATCAGCATAAGCAAAATTGAACCATCAAGAGCCATTTCAATTCTCAGAATTATACAAATCTTATTAAAGAAGTTGTTGTATTACCTTTTGAGGGTATTGTAAATGATTCATAAAGAACATCCTTATGCTATTACTTAATATATTTTTTCAATCATACAATTTAAAGATTTTTTAAGATAATTTCTTGGAGCTGAGTACATCTAGTCTTTCAGTAAACACAGTTTAATATCTAATTATTTCAGTGTTTCTTTTTTTTCTTGAAGCCTCTAAGGTCAGCCAGGTTATGGTAAATGACTGCAGATATTAGATTTGTAGTAAACTTTTAAAAGAATGTCTATGTAGAGAAATTTTATAAAATAGTTAGAGCATTTACTAATACATTTTTTCACTTTTTGGATAATAATGTCTCTTCAACCCATTCATTACTTTTTGTTCATGAGTTGAAAATTGTTTTTGTCTAATAGTCATTCATTGTGGAGTTAAATAAATACTGGTGTTCTACATTAAAGCATGCCTCAGAATCAAAACAGTTTATAACTTGAAAGAGGCTGTGCAGAAGTTGTTTAGTTATATGACTTACAAATTAGTATAATGTTATTTAAAAGAGTAGATGTATATAGAATAAGAAATGATAGTTCAATATAAAGATCAAGGAATTACAAGGTAGTATATATGTGGTCTTGGTAGCAGTGTGGCTCAGTGACCTTATGCTTTGGATGATTGTGAGTTCTAGGCTGGCTCATATTGTGCTGTTCTGTCCTTGAGCAAAACACTTCCCACCAGTTTGTTTCGGTCTAACTACCTGTCAATGGCTAATAACTGTTAACTGGGGGATTACTCTGCAAAGGACTGACATCCTGTCCATGTCCCCATTGTTATCTGCTTGTGCCATTTAAGATGCAGTTTAGCACTGGATCGTATGTGCCATCTCATCATGGGAGGGATTTGTTCTTAAACTTTGATGTAAACTCCTGTTTGTATATATGTATAAAAATCATCTTATTACTAATGTTATGTTAGTATTGTTTAACATTACAGGTAATTCAAATTGATAGTGTTAAACCAAGCAACAAAATTAAACTTATGTCTCTCTGGGACCAGTCACTTATATTTACAAACTGGTTCACATCATCTGATATGGTTACACAGTTTGTGAGAAAAATGTTCATTAACATTGGAACAAGGTATATCAACATTCAAACATGCATCATCTTGATTTCTACGTGTTGTCTTGTTCTTTTAAATCATCTAATAGCTATATAGCATTGAATTATCTATAACTGGAAGTTAATTGTTTCTTTTTAAACATAAGTATATGTTGTTTTTTCTAGGAATATAGAACTAAAGATGAATTTACTTATATAAAGCACGTTTAAATAAAAGAACATAGAAACTAGTCATTATAAAGAAACATTCTGTGTTAGTAAAGAAACCATTAATGACTGTATGTTGTAGGTTATCCACAAATCAGATGTATCTGTAAACCAGTTTTTAAAATAAGTAAATTTAATTATGTGGTTCTGAATGGTGAGAGCTTCTTATTCATTGTATAAAGACATTTAGACCTTAATTTGTGCAAAGGAATATTTGTATTCACTGTTAGGTGGCTATTCACTAAAATTAAACATACACCATATTAACAAGACTGGTTAACCCTTCAACTGCTGCAGGAGCAGCTCAGATGCCATTTTCTGACTCACAGATAAAACTGAGTTGCCATCAGTCACAATAAAATGGTAATTATCATCATTCGCATAAAGTTATAGTTATATATGTGCAACTGACGGATGTTTCTATCATTCGCAGCTGAGCCATAGAACGTTAATGACGGAAATATCCGTCATCCGCAGTTAATGGGTTAAGTATATTGACCACAAATCATATGCAGTTGAAGTTGACAACTTTACTATAGCTGAGAATGAAATGTAATTGAAGGACTCTAGAAGGTTTTGTGATTACAAATCTGAAGTCAACCCTCAACCAAAAAACTTAGGTTAGACCCTTTTCCACAAATTGTGAATTTGTTATTTTGATTACATGCAAGTAAGTTACTTCAGGAGCCCTTTTAATTCCAGGGATTTTACAGTGCATTAACTCTTTCAGGTGGCATTCAGTGCATGTCATCGCATTTTATTAAACTACTATTTTATGAATGTATGGAAATAATTTTGGCATCAAATTGTAATTTGTAATTAAAATTTTAATATTATATATTATTTAATTTCTTAATTCAAAAGTAAATGTTGAAATAAAATTGCATTTGTGTGCCACGTGGTATATTGTCTTCTGGTTTTGCCCAACTTACATTCTATGACACCCACAATACAACGTCAATGGTTTTAAACAAATTAGAAATTCAAATTACCAATATTGACAAGCTAGAATATAAAATAAGAATCTCCTTCCTTTTCTGTTTGCAGAGATATCATTATATTTAGAGAATCTACCACAGTGGCTCTGCCCACCACTTCATCTTTTGAAAATATGTGTTTACCTATGCCTACTTCTCTTAATTACATGTTTATAACCAGTCAAAAGCACTCATTTTGAACCACATAATCCTAAAGTATTTATGCAGGGAAGGCTGTTGGAAAGGTTGAAGTGTTATGGTCAAGGTGATATTCTAATCAGAAATGAGATTTATTAGACCCAATACAGCTTAATTAGAAAACCTGATAAATTACAGTGGATTTTTGTGGTATCAGTATAATAATTTATAAATTTTTGTTATTTCAAAATGGACATATAAAATCTACAAACATTAATTATTGTATTTAATTTATGTGCAAAATTTGATGTGCATGTAGGATGCACGAGTACAAAATAATTTTGTAACACTGAAAGTAGTGGAGATCATTGTTTTCTTTATAGTTTTCATTTACTGTTCTGTGTTGTAAAAAATAATTGAAATTTGGAACTTATATGTAAATAGTAATAATATATATACATACGTAATCTATGGTAATGGAAATGTTACTTTATTTTATAAAATACTGGTTCATTAGTACTAAGTCTAAGAAGAGTAAGAGGTCTGTGCTTTGTAGGCCAGTTTTTTGCCATTCGAAACAGTAATGTGAGCTCGTGATTTACAATTTGAGTGATGGGATTATTAGACACGGTTCAAAAGTCAATCAACCTAAGAAAATTAATAAATATAGATAGATGTATACTGTTACAAGCTTTAAGCTATTTAGAATAAACAGTTGTGATTTCCTGTTACAATTTGCTTTCATTTTAGAAAGAAAAAATGGTAATTTAGTATTATTTCTTAATTTTTTATGGTGCTTACAAAGTCAGTGAAATTTGCTGAATGGGTATAGAGTTACGGTAGAGAAAATAACAGATTAAATATAAAGTTTTCTGAAAAAAAGTTTATTTACTAAGGAAGTTTTAGTGATTATGCAAATTAAATTTGAAAATTTTCAGATGAAAAATAGTATTTTTAATCTTAAAATCAAAATTGCTTTGCATGTTGGATAGTCATCTTTCTGAAAGCAAAAGTTCAAAATAAATCTTTAGTTAAAATACTTAACTAAAAAAATCTGATTCTTTGTATACAAAAGCCTTGTAATGTTTAGTGATAGTCTGCAAATTTTTTTGAAAATATGCATATGTTGTCAAAAGTTATAGTGTGACTAATCTCATGGTTACATTGCAACTACCCATAGTCAAAGAGTTAAAGAAATAATTGTATTACTTCTTGAGGATATTGTAAATGATTCATGAATAACAAAGTATTTTCCTTTCTTTTTGTATTAGGCTGAAGCTAGCTTTTTTACTAATATTTAACTTAACGTATAGAATGAGTTTCTCTTTACTTATACTTTGTTTTCCTTTTAAGTACATTTTACTTTATTGTGAAGTTGGTTCACAAACCTTGTTTAAATTTTAGAGTTGCCAATATTGAGGCTTGTTTGCTTGGCTCAGCTCAGAAAGAAAAATCCACTGTCTTAGGAGATTTAATGAGGTGAGTGTATTTTCAAATTTGTTTATCACAAATCAGTAATGGTTCTTTAAAGTTATAACTTCTTACATTGCACACTTGTAGAGGTTAATTAACCATACTTTTATTACACAACTGCACAACAGTTAAACTGCATTAGTAAAACAGCAGTTATTAAGATTACTTGTTATATTATTTTTCTTTATAACATTTCACTGTTATTTTGTGAATGTTTCTGATTGAAAGCTGCTACAATATGGAATCGTTCATTACCTCATTTACTACAAGTGGCCGTCTGTTGAACTCCATCTTACTTTGCTCAATATTCTCAAAAAGTATTTTCCATTTTGAGTATATGAAACTAACAAAATACAAAGTACATTAAAATTTTCAAAATTTGCTAAGAAAGAGGGCCTGTAAAGTGCTTAAATATTTGTAATTTGCTTTTATACTACATTATTAGTGTCTCTTAAAGACTGCAAGCCTACACTGCTGAGCATAAGAGTATATTAATTTGAGAACTTTGGAACCTGGTTGTTTTAAAAATAGCATTGCTATATGATATGACTTCTAGTTGCACTCTGTTTTCACAAATGCAACAAAAACTACAGTTAAAAATATAGTGTATGAAAAAAGTCAAATGTTAGAAGCTAAGTTAATTTGGTTTGTACAGTTTGAAAATTTTTGAAAATTATCAGTAATTTGTTTAGCCATATCAAACATAGATTAGCTTAGCTAGTCCAAATTTAAGTTCTTAAAAGCAAGTATTGTTTACAAACTCTTGATTCCATGAATTGTAACTTTTCTTACTCATTTTATACAGACATGCTTCTATACTAAGAATGATCCAATAATGATTTTTTTGTTTTTCACCTATAGTGGAAAGTACAAGCTTCTGTACATTACACCAGAGTATGCCACAGCAGCTACTGAAGTACTTGATAAGTTGCATTTGAAAGTAGGTTAGTATGAAATACTTTCTGTTCCAACAAAAAATAAAGTTCCAGTGTCCATGATAATTACAGTGTTTGCTGATTGGTTTCATTTATCATCTGTGTCATCCAGTGTCAATCTCAAATTTTTTACAAGGAGGTTTCACAAATGATTTACATTGGAAATTCACTTAAAAAGCTTTTATTTTATTCTTAACCCTCTTGCTATGGACTCAGTCAATTCGACCTAAATCTTGACCCCAAACTGACCTTTAGAGTTTCTATACTATATAAATTTTAACATATTTTGTTTACCTTCACAAAATTTTGCAAGCTTTCAGGAAGCATTACAAGTCTTTTGTAGACAGAAAATCAGAATATTTCATGAAGTATTTTTACTAAACATTTCTCTGTGAATATATAGAGTCAAAGTGTTGTCTGCTCTGAGTGCAAGGTGATTTTCATGTTATGATTAAAAATACTTTTCTTCGTGTTAAAATTGTCAGATTCTTTTTGCATAATCACTAATATCTCCTAAATAAATTTCAAATATTCGTCTTCAGGAAAACTATATCTTATCTGTTATCTTCTCTACCCTAACTATACAGGGTTGGTCAATTTCACAGACTTTGTAACCACCATAAAAAAATATGAAATATATCTAAGCTATCCCTTTTTTTTTTCATTCTAGAATGACTTCAAATTGTAACAGAAAACTAGATTTGTTTATGCTAAATAGCTTAAAGCCAGTAATATTATACATCTGTTTATACTTAAATTTTATTGTTTTATTGCTCTTTGAACTATGTCTAACTAATAATCCTGTCACACAAGTTGTAAGTCATTCAGCAAACATGTAGTTCTCATTACCCTATCGAATTATGTAACAAATGAGCTACTTGCGAGTGTACTTCACGAAAAATTATTATTTTTCTTTGTCTTACCTTATCCAACCTAATAAGTTTCTAATATTTAAATTTTACGTTTATTATAATAAATATAGAACACACATGGAAAAACAAGAAATATAATACTTACCTGGTGTTTTTTTTTTTTGTTTAAGTGAAACTTAACCCTACACTTTTATACTAATGGTACTACTACTACTACTACACAAAATAATTTTCTATTTAGTTAAATAATACATCAACGAACACAGAATAATAACACGTAACTCGTCATTGTGTTTCTCGTTGGAATAAAGTTTGAATTGGAAGCAAAACAGACAGAAAACAATGTAATATGATATGTCATTTAATAGGTTAAGGCTTTGGCTTCCTATTGGTTATGAATAATATAGTATTAAACATTAGAGAGAACTATTGGCAATTTGTGAAACAGATGATGTGATAGTTGGGCATGGCAAGAGGGGTCTTATTTTCAGAGAAAGGTGGTAAATTAATTGGAAAAGAGGGAAGACCTAGAGAACAAATGTTATGATTCTCATATAAGGGGAGATTAGAGGTTTACTTAAATACCTCCTTATAAAAATAAGAAGTTAAAACTAATATAATATTAAAATTTAATTTATCAACTATGTTTAGATGTCAAGTTTATTCATATACAATGATAATAAAATAGTTTAAATTTTGACTGAAACTCTGTAAAAGTTCATGACATGTACACTTTGCCTTACTTGTAGTAAGAGGGTTAGAAAGTAAAACATAAAAAAAAGTAATGAAAATTAATTACATAGTGAAGGTTTCTGCTCAGTTTAGTTAAGTTTCCACATTGAAGTAGATGTTGAACTGGTGAAAAGAACATGTTATTATCCTATTTACTACTAATGGAATATATATGTTACATCATATTAGTAAGGTTATGTTTTGCCTGTTTCTGCATAAGGGAAAGAACTGACCAAAAACTTCAGACAGAATCACTCATTTTCTATGAAAAATACCTATATAGGGAGCCCCAGAAGTAATTAGCATAAGTAATTGCAATAATGATTATTTTTTCCTTTTATGTGATTTGTATGGTATTAGAGATTTTGTTAATAATACATTTATGAATCCACACTTAATATTTGCATAGATAATTTTGAAAAATATAGTTAAAAGGTGATGAGAAACTGGCATTGACCTGATCAGTAATTCTAGATTAAATTTTGTGATTTACCTAGATTAGTCCTGTTAAACATGATAAGTTTTGTTTTCTATTGTTGATTGTAGTTTATTACTTCATGAAAAAAAAGTTATTTGGGTATAATTGTTTCACTGTAGGAATCAGCCTGATTGCTATTGATGAAGCTCACTGTGTCTCTCAGTGGGGTCATGATTTTCGACCATCATTCAGACAGTTGGGTGGGCTTCGAACTCATTTCTCTGAGGTAAGTAATAACCATGTAATAAATGAAAATACAGAAAAGACAGATTTGAGAATATAATAATCCGCTGTCATGTAATGCATAAAGGTAAGGTATTTTTCTTTAGGTTATAGGTCATTTTCATTACCTCTGCAAGCAGCTTGGTCCATTGGACCAGACCTTGGAATTGTAAAGCTATACATAATAGAAAACTGAATTTAGTAAGTTTATCTTCATGAAATTTGGCAAAATTTAAGTAAACATTAAATGTGTTATACAAAAAAAAAAGATGTTTTAATAAAATATTTTTGTTTAAGATTTGTCTGAATTTCCAAAGCATTACTGAGTTAACCTGAGTGAAATTTCACTAAAAGAAGATTTTCATCCTAAGAATAAATATACTTTTTTTTCATCTTGAAGTTTTCAAATCTCATTTTCAAAACCTCTAGAATATCCTAAATGAATATCAAGTGTTGTGTTTTTTCAGTAAAAATTTATATTTTACCCCTTATTTTCTCTACCTTAACATAACATAATAGTTGATTGTCAGGTTTATAAAGAACTCATGAATTTACAGTTGAAAAATATGAAATAAAATAAGTAGTACCATTTTTTCTTCCAAACTCACTGCAGAATTGATCAGAAAGTTTCAAATTTCATTTCTTAACTGTTTCAGCTCTTAACCTTTTCTCATCTTTTTTTCTTTTATAAAATTGTATCCACTGGACAATAATTCTTCTGTTAACGGTCTAAAATAAACATGCCGCTACAATCAGGGTTCAACACAAAAAAAAAAGTAATTTATTCAACTATCACAACACTTAGAAATAAATTGAGCACTTACCAAAACACAGTTGGTAAACATATGCCTGGCTAGGTCTTGACTCTAAAGTTAATAATATAATATAATAGTTAATTTATTCAACTATCACAACACTTAGAAATAAATTGAGCACTTACCAAAACACAGTTGGTAAACATGTGCCTGGCTAGGTCTTGACTCTAAGGTTAATATCATAAATATCAATATTATTTCAAATAATGGAATCAGGAAAAAAGAACCAGAAAGAAAAAATCTCATTCCAAAAAAATATAGGAACACAAAAATACCTTTCAATATTAATAACAATATTGAGTGATAAACAGCAATAATTCACTAACTCTGTTGTTTACTAACTATCTTGTGACTCTCTATCTCTCTCTCTTAGTGAAGCTTCTGGCAGGGTATTCACTGAGTAGGTCAGGAGAATACATCTCATGTGATCATAAGTTCATAAATTTACATAATCTTCTGCTACATTAATGGTATCTGTATGTTACCACTAGGAAAGCTAGTGTCGGTTTGTCACACAAACATATTTACTCAAAATACAAATGATTAATTATAAGGTGATAATGCTTGGAGATGGCCTGAATGGGTAAGGAAGAAAACTTTAATATAAGTCTAACATAACAGCAAATGAACAACGTTTTGTCAAGGTTCTGTCATCATCAGGTACAACCGATAGTTTACTTCATGCCAAACTTTTCCTTGGCCGTAACTTCACTGTCTTCTGCTATTATCTGTCTGCTGTTTCTACTTGTCTCAAACTGTTTAGATGTTTATCACTTAATTGTCTGCCCGCTTCTTAGAAATCTCTATATCTCAACGTCAAAGTATTGCACATGATGATCGAATGTCTCAACATCAATGAATTATAAAAAGAACTTCCTACAATTGTGTGCTTTTAACTCTTAGTATAACAAAAAATAAACAATAATAAAAATACTCACAAAATAAATTAATCACTAATATCTAAACTAAACAGTCTTTTATATCATGACATAAACCTCTCTTCAAGATAAATATTTACAATATTTTTTACTATTTACAAAAACTGTTCTTCTGCTCTAACATTTGCAGTCCCTTTGATAGCTTCAATGCGGAACCTCTAGTTCTGAAGGTACAACACCCACCTGATGATCCTCACACTGTTGATCTTGCACCTCTGAATGTATGCAAGTGGTTGATGGTCTGTCTGGATGATGAACTCCTTCCTGTATAGATAGTTCTGGAACTTTGTAATGGCAAATATGATGGTCAGATATTCTCGTTCAATCAGGGAATAGTTCTTCTCACTATTTAACAGCTTTTTATTTATATATGTTACTGGAAACAGTCCATCTTCATGTTCTTGTAAGAGTACTGCCCCAATTCCAATGTCTGAAGCATCAGCCTGAATAATGAATTGTTTGTTGAAGTCTGGGATTCTAAGAATTGTGGAGCTTCCCTACATGTTCTTTAATTTCTGGAATGCCATCTGGCATGGTTGTTCCCACTTCACCTTGTTGGGTAAGCCTTTCTTGGTCAGGTCAGTCAATGGAGCAGTAATTTCAGTATAATTTGGGATGAATTTCCTGTAGTATCTTACCAACCCCAGGAAGGACCTGACTTGCTGGATGGTCATCTGAGCTGGTGTATCTTGTATGTAGATTATATTTTCCTTTTCAGTTGCTATCTGATGGTCCTCCACTTTATGTCCAACATAATATCCAAAATAGCACTTGGATGGTCTGATGGTGAGGCCTGCTGCCCTCACTTGATGGAACAGCTGTCCAGGTCTCTTCAGGTGGTCTTCCCATCTTGCAATGTGTATCATAATGTCATCCACATAGTGCTCGATGTTGGGGGTGTTGTGCATCCTCCTCTTCATCATGCTGTTGAATGTTGCTGCTGAGTTGACTAACCCAAATGGCATCTGCTTAAATTGGTATCATCCATCTGGTATCACAATTGCTGTTTTTTCTTTATAGATCCTGTATCCATCAGGATTTGCCAATAACCTTTAGTGAGCTTGATCTTTGAAAAGAACCTGGCCCCATCTACTTTTGCCATGATGACCTTTTGGTTACCCATAGGTTCGGAGTCGAACTTCATTACGAGGTTCAGCTTTCGGAAGTCTATGCAGAAACGGTTTCATTCATCCTTCATCTTCACGATTACAACTGATGAACAGTAGGCTGAATTTGAAAGCTCGATGATTCCAGCTTTCAAGATTGCCTCAACTTCCTGCTTTTTCAGGTCTCTCATTACATATGGCATCTGATAGGCCTTCACTTTGACTGGATCCCTGGTTGTTGTCTCGATCTTGTGTTGCACAAGGTCTGTCTTTCCTGGTTTATCTGTGAAGATAACTGCACATTACTGGCACAGTAGGTCTTGTAACACCTTTTTTTGTGCTTGCCAGTCAGTTCTTTGCTGATGTTGACATCTTTATATGTCTCATCTCCACCTAGTGGTCTTAGGTTTAGTAGGTCCTCATCTTCTGAGACAAAGTCACTTTCTTCTGGTTCTGCATCTATAATGGTCACACCTGCAACACCCATCTTTGTTTCAATAGCTGCACCCGTTAGGTCTTTTTCTCTCCCAAAATAATTCAACAGATTGGCATGGTAGATCTTGGTCTTCCCGTTCGCATTCACCTTGAAGTCCATTCTGTTGAGTACTTCCTGTACTTCAAAAGGTCATTTTCATTGCAGGGTGAGTTTGTTGTGGTCTGTGGGCAGCAGAACTAAGATCTTCTGTCTGACCTTGAAATGTTGATCCTTAGCCTTCTTGTCATACAAATGCTTCTGACTGCCTTGAGCTGCATACAAGCTCTGTCGAGCGAGTTGACAGGTCTCCTCCATTCAGTTTCTGAGGTGTAACATGTACTGGTATGTTTTCCTTACTTTTGAGTCTTCTTCTCCTGTTCATAGCTCTTTCAATATTTTTGTCAGACCTCGTACTGTTCTTCCATACAGTAATTCGAAGGGTAAAAATCCTGTATTTGCTTGTGGGACTTCTCGATAAACGAATAATACTGCTTACAAGTACCTATCCCAGTCATGTGATCTCTCTTGGCACATCTTTTTTAGCATACTCTTTTAAAACTCCATTGACTCTCTTGCAAAGTCCATTCCATATAGGATTGTACTTGGTGGTAAAGAGTTGCAAAGTACTGAGGAGTCTGCACAATTCCCGCATCAGTTCTGAAGTAAACTGGGTCTCTTTGTTACTCAGGATTTCCCTGGGCAAGCCTATTCTGCAAAATATCTTCAGGAGGGCTTCTGCTACTCTCTCTGTCTTTGTCAGTTCTATTGCTTCCAGATAACATCTCGCATAGTCAACTACTGTCAGAACATACTGGTTGCCCTTGTGAGGCACAGGCACTAATACTCGATCAAGTCCACAGCAACTCTGCTGAACAGCTCTTCTATGAGAGGCATCTCCCCCAATGGCACTTTGGCTATGTTCCCTATAGGTATTGTCCTTTGGCAGATGTCACATGACCTGCAGAATCTACTCATATCTCCGATGACTCCCAGACAATGGAAATTACTGGTGATTCTGTCTGCCATTTTCTTTGTTTCTGGGTGTCCTCCCATAATTGATTCATGAGCCAACTTCATCACTTGAGTGTGGTATTCTTTTGGTACTATGATCTGTTTAACTTCCCCAGTATAACTGCCTTGATACATTTGGTATAGAACTCCCCCTGGTCCTCTATTCTATAAGTATCTTTTCCCATTGTTTTGTGCTTGACTTTCTCCCAGGCATTGTCCCAAAGTTTCTGCAGTGAAGGTTTTTTTTCTGTGCTTCCTTCAGTTCCTGCAAACCTAAATTTGGGATGTTGCCTTTTGACACTTGCAGGGGCTTGATTTCTTGTTTGCTCTTCATTTACTTGAGCTCTGGTGGTGACAGCAGATGCTTCATCAATTTGCTTTCTGTCTAGTTCTTCCGAATTTCTACTACCTGGTATGTTTCCTTCACCAAGTCATGTATTGGTTTCTTGATACAAGTGGCCTCAAGGTCTCCTACATAATATGAAGTATCCACCTTTATTTTTGCTATGGGGAAACTTTGTCACTATCCCATCAGTTAGTACACACAGGCAGCAGCATCCTTAGTACAGTCACTCTTTTCTTGTTTCTTACCAGCACTGTCTTTGTAAATAGCTCCAGCTGCTTTATGTTGAGGTTTCTGCTGTTATTTGCTGGTAATG